TCACAGCATAATGGTGTAGTATTAGTCCCCAGAAACGTACCATATTCACAGGACTGCTGTAAATCAGAGATTATTCGAAGGATGTTATTCATCAAATTTGATCTTTGCTCATTTTCTAAAATGCTTCCAGTTGATGGGTATGCTGAATCAATGTATGTTAAATCTGACAAATAGATACCTGAAAGAAAATGAGATAAATCAGTGTTTTTACTTATAGCTTGGAGAGGATGATAAAATGAAGAGAAAAAAAAAAAACCCAAACAAACACAAAACCTTGTTTATAGCTATACTTTAATATATGCTGTATTCAGGACTGTTGTTATTTAATAACACCACAGTCTTGTTAAAACATAACCACTGAGGCCTAGATTTGCATGCATTTGGGTCAGACATGTAAACAGTATGTTTTTGTGAATGACCTCTTATGATGCCATTTTGTTTTTATGTATTTATATTTTAAAGTTTTTTATCATCTATTTATCATCTCTACACCCGATGTAGGGCTCAAACTCACGACCCTATGATCAAGAGTTGCATGCTCTACCAACTGAGCCAGCCAGGCATCCTGATTAGCTTTCTAACTGTTCACATGGCATTAGACACGAAGTGTTTGTATACGGTCTTGTTTTGAAGATTGACAGTTGGATTTCTGAAACAGTGCATGTAACTACAAACTGAAGCTAATTCTTCCTCCTGCACCTCGACCCCGCTGTCCCATTTCTCTGTATGAACAGAAATAACATAACTTCCAAAATAATTTGGTTCTATCAGTTCTAGATATTCAAGGCCACTTATTTAAAAATATCTCCTGAGAGTTTATTATGCACATGTAAAGTATGTAAGACAACTACAGTTAAAGAGAAAATATACTTTCTTTTTACCTCATTACTCTATATTCACAAACTCTCAGGAAAACCACAACTGATGTACCACATACACTGCCTGCCAAAAAAGCCCTGTTTTCTTTTTCTCATGCTATTTCTTTCATCTTGACTGTTTCTGAGACTCATCTCTGTCTATCTCAATTATATTTTATATCCAGGTCAGTGTCAACTGTTCTTTAGTTTTCTCATAGATTCCAAGAAAGGAATTTAGAAACCATTTAGTCTAACCTCCTCTTTATTTATAGACAAAGAATCTGAGGTCCACAGGTATTAAAGGATTGTTTTAATGCCACGCGAACTATTAGTAACAGAGCTGGAACTCAGGGTATACAACAAGTATACACTCCGTTTCTCTACTACATGTTGTTAAAAATTCATACAACATCTATAATACCATTCACTTGGTAATTTTTTATGACTTTATAATCTATTAAGTCATCTATCATAAACAGTTCCTTTTCTTTAGAGACTCTCAACTTCTTTGTAATGATTTCAAATATCTTTAGCTTAGCTTCTTTCCTTTCCTTCAATCTCAGAGGAAGAAAAGTCCCTTTTTCCTTTCCAAATCTACATTGTGACTTTGAATGTAATCGCAATTGTCTTTGCAATTGTTGCCTCCACTGTCACTACCCCCCCCCCCCGCCCCATGGGCTCCTTTCCCAGAGCAAGTGTATGTACTTATACACTGCCTCTCTCAAAGGAAACAAAATCAAGGTGACCCTTCCTTCAAATCTGATACCTCCTCCAGACAGGAACCTCGTTCCTCTCCCTATAATAAACACCTTGAAAGAGATACACAGACTAGTCCACATAACTTATTTTATTCTTCATCTCTTTGGAATGAAATATTTGACACATAGAAAAGTTTACATGTGTAAAGAAATTGAGACTTTGAAATAGGCAAAAAAGATTACAGGTGTCCTGTCTCCAGCGTATCCTTCTGGAGCATTTGCAATCTGTAGGTTGCTGAAAAGTAGTAATAATACAAATTCTTGTCCATAAATATGCCAATGACTTATGTTCAGTAAATGTAACTAACACTCTATAGATGTTGACCAGTTTTGCAACTATGTGTAAATTAATTTCAGTATTCTGTGGTGTTTATACGGTATGTGTGGGACTTTGAATTCTCCCTTGAAATGGTTGCAATATCTTCCTAGCTCCCTTATAAATTTAATGATTATAAAACCTTGACATGTATTCATTTTGTATTTGTGAGAACCATGATAAAACCTTGACATGTATTCATTTTGTATTTGTGTGAGAACTATGATTTTACCATTTTAAAAAGTATACTTTACCCCATATAATATTGGTTGTTACCAAACAATATAATAAATGCTTGTGAATGACCAGGCAGGTTAAGAAGTACAACATCACCAGTGCTGTTCGTTCCCTGCAGCATCTCCCTGCCTCCTGTCCAGAGGTAACCAACCACTATTCTAAAACTTAAGATTATGTCCTCCCTTTTTCCCCAAGATGTATATCTGTATCCATGCACATTATTTACTTTTGCTTATTTTTAAGCTTTAAAAAATAACATTTAAAAAAATAATATTTTATGCATGTGTGATTAAGTTCAGTGATAACACTGGTAAAGTTAGAACATGTACACAATAAGTAATTTACAGATGTTTCCTAAATTTTTAAAAATATGGCCTTCTGTGATTGCTGTGTCTCACCAGTTTATTTCTAGGAGTTGTGTTGTTAAATGCAGCTATAATTCCTTGAATTGAGAATAAACTGACATTTAACTATGTCGCAATTCACTTACTCATTTGATAGACTTTTAAGTTACTTTTTCCCTCCCTCCATGTTGACATTCTTGTAAATATCTCCTGGAACACATGTACAAGAATTTCCCTAGTATATAGATATCTATATACATATGGCATTTATATAGTATTTTAATGTTCAGCTTTACATTGTTTTTTTAAAGCTTTATCAATTCATACTGCCACTGACAGTAAGTTTCCACTGATCCACACTTGATATTATCAGTCTTCCTAACTTTTGCCAATCTTGAGGGTATAAAATAATCATCTCACTGAGTTTCAATTTTCATTTCCTTGGTTGGTAATGAGGTTATGCATTTATATTTATATTTATATTTATATTTATATTTATATTTATATGAAAGGCCTTTTATCCATTTTTTTCCTCTGGGTTGTCTTTTTCTTATTGATTTCTAAGTTCTTAACATATTGTAGAAACTAATCCATTTGGCAGTTAAATTTTATCTACTTTTCAACTTGTTGAATAATCTGAAATCTGTATCTTGCTGCTGAAACTTATATAAGCAAAGGTATAAGGGACTTGCTCATTATTAAATCTTTAAACAACTCCCTTGGTCTCCTCCTGCTGCTTATTAGTGTCTCAGCAGGTTTTTTTGTTTGTTTGTTCCTTGGGGCTTTACTGGCTTGAACCTTCCTAGCTTCCCACACCCCTCCATTCTCCTTTTTCCTCATGTTCTCTAGAAGTTGGTGTTCCCCATGGTTCCGTCATTAATCTCATTCTTAATGTACTTTTTCTGGATTATCTTACTTCTGTAGCCTCAACTATCACCTAATTGCTGATGACTTTCCACATTTCTCTCTAGAACTGAACTCCTAACTTTCATTTTCAATTTAACCAAACTAATCATTATTTGTTCAGAAACACCTGACATCCCAACTTCCTACCTTGGTTAGTGATATTACTAATTGTTAAAGTTAGAAAGTTTAAAACCACTCAAGTAAAAAAGCTCAGCAGAACCTTAATATCTCATATTTTTTCCCAGATTAAGCTATTAGTGAATACAAGAGGATCACTAAATAGTGAATACAGAGGCTAAAAGCTGGCATTCCATCTGTCCCAGTGTTTTTAAAATCAGGAAATGTCATAGGAAATATCTAAGTAACTCTCTCTTCCTAAGAAATGGGGAGATCTGGCAACAATGAGGTACAGTTGAGAAGGGTGTAGATCCCACTGTATCAACCTTAAGGATGCCAGTTTGTCCTCTTTTTCCTTTGTTATCTTACTTTTGGTTTATTGCACTTACTTACATTACCTGCTCTGTTCTTGTGAGCATGTAGCATTTGTCTTTGCAGATCCTTGAGTTTGCAACCCCTGGTATACCAATGTATATCACAGAACTTAAAGAAATAATTCCAATAAAGAGGTAGAAACTGGGACGACTTAATAAAGAATGTGGACCGATAAAGAGATGGTGGTAGAAGCAAAATACTAAGCCAAATCAATTAGGATGCCTAAATTTTTGTTTCATTAGCTATTAAGTTACTTACTTACATTTCTGGGTTTAATGAAATATAATAGCACAGTAAGTACAGAACAGTTACTAATTCTTTCTCTAGATTTGTCTAAGTTCACATAGCCAGCGAGGAGTCAGAACTCTCTTTTTTCAGGCCAGGGTTATGTTTGCTTTTAAATCTCAAAACATCAACTACTAAGAATAACCTTATTCAGACAAGAGGGGTCATGTTTTTAGAACAGGAGGAAGTGACATTATATAACATCAGAATTTCTAAAAGAACTAAATTTCTGAATTTTATATACAGATTTCCACTTATTTGTAGTAATTATATATATGAGCAGTTTTATCTTAAGACACATTACACAGTAAGATATATCACAACATCAGGTTTTGTCTATGTTTAAAACCTTCTGAAATGGCAACTTAGTAAAATGTTTAAAAATTCTTCTGGGCTATAAAGAGTTTTACATTATTTAGGTGGCTGCCTCCTGACAAAGTCTAATTCTTGTTCTTTGTAACAAAAACCAAATTTATCAGCCTGCTACTATTTCTGAGAAGTTGAGTACTATTTTTTCAGTATTCAAGTTAAAAGATCTCTGGCCAGCAGACTAAAATGTTTGTTTTATAATTGCCCGCTAAACTATGATAGTTTGTTTCCAGATGGTGCCCTTCCTTCAACCTGCACACAGTCTCTCCTTGTTCGGAGCTATTCAACCTCCCGCTGATCCCACCACCCCCACCCCTATTTAAGGCTACAGAGAGGAAATCCTAAGGAGGAGATTTCCCCCCCTAGTCTCCAGCAATTTTTTGGTGACGTAATATGTGGGCTGAACTTGAGTTTACTGAGAAAGAGAGGGAATCACTATTCAAGGGTACTGTATATACAATCTGGGTCAGCTGCAGCTGGTTACTGCACTTCTCCATGTGGCAGACAGAGCAAAGCCACAATGCTTTCTCTGCCGGATTAAAGACAGCCCACAGACCAGAACTTCCACTATACTACTTAAAATTACATAGGTGGCTTGTCAAGTTCAATCGATTAGTGTTGTAAGAAGAAAAAGAAGTTCCTTATTACAGCTTGGATTCGACGGTCCAAAACAAAAATGCAATTGCTATTAAAGTCACAGATGAACAAACTTCTACACTGATTTTTAAAGGCAAGAATAAGAGCAGCAAGTTTCTGGGTCTGCTTTATCAACAGATGCATAAAGGTATTTTATTCTTTTATTTTTATTTAAAATTCTGTGTATATCAAAATTTTACATTTGTAGAAGTTTCAAAATCTTTTATTAAACAAATAATTTAAAAATCTACTATAATTTATTTTAGTTGAAAAAGGTTTTCTTTTGCACCTTTATGTAAAAACTGATTATGTACTTTGTGATGATTAAGGCAGGATTTGAGGTTCAATTTAATAATATTTAGTATATGTGCTTATAAATTGGTACATACATGCTAGGTTTCAGACAAGTGCTTTAGTGACACGAGAAAGAAATCTTAACAAATAAGATTCATGTATAAGGTTTATAACACAGTGATTAAAAACAAAGGGATACAAACAAAAGAGCTGTAAACAGTCTCTCTCCACGCAATTACAGTGTGTGTGTATGTCTGTGTGTAAGTTCATGTATACTGTTAGAGATCTTAAAGTATAGCTACAAAACACAGCTAAAAAGATACAAAATTAACTGAAAGGCTTTGCAACAATCCCTCAGTTATACTATAACCAAATATCAAACAGAAATTTTTATAAAGGTTTAAGATAAGCCTATGACATTTCTTGGGAAAATGCAAATTTTTAAGTAACTTTCCAGGCTTACATGTAACAGTAATTGAACCTGGGTAATAGAAATTAAAACTGCTATACGTAGAATTACTTAAAAAAGCAAAGTTATGAATATATATATTAAAAAAAAAACAACCTAAAACTTTATAGATTAGGATTAAGGAAAAAAAAAATAAAATGTGATAGAAATATTATGTAAGTAGTCAGCAGTAAGCAGAAAATAAAGAACCCAGAAGACAACAGTTACTTAAATACATGATTGAAAGACCAAAAATATGTAATATTTTTAGACAGACATAACTCTGGTAACCATACACATGAGGTTTCTTTCAGTATTCTACTTTGTTTAATTGTATCATGAAAACAATTAAAAATAAAATTACTAGTTACCATGAGTAAGCTTTCACACCAGACACTTAAATTTTTTATCATTTGGGGATCCTCTGTTCTTTTAAATGCTAAAGACATTAAATGGTAAGAATCTTCAATAAGCAAATAGTTATAAAGCTCAGATTTTTTCAAATTTACTTTCATGTTTTTTCCTTAAAGATTCAAACTCTAAATCCTGGGAGGATCTCTGTTAAACATATTTTACAAGAAACTGATAAAATGTCCAAGCAATACTGGATCTGAAATACTGCCACCTCTCTCTTTTCTGTTGTTGTTTGCTATGAAAAGTGCAAGACCTCATTAAATCTCAGTTCTTACTGAAGCCGAGGCAAGCACTGACTCTGAAACCCCAAACACACAGATAACTACTATCCCTTTCTTTAATATCTCCAGGGAACGAGACTGTTCTCAAGTCTCTCCCCAGAATATAACTCACAATCTAGAAGTATCTACAGCATCTTCGATGCTTCATAAATTTAGGCTCATTGCCTCATGCTGTTTTCAGTGCGTGACATAGCCAGTTAAATGCCTCTACACGTTTACCATCTGAAAGGAAGTAAATTCTGATTTTTATTTCTTCTCTTTAGTAGCTGGCAATGTAGCAACTATGAAGAGAAATAGTATTAATAAAATTAACCTGAAGCATGGACGACTTTTTCTTTTTTTTTTTTTTTTTCTAAAAACAGCCAAGTAAAGGCATAGATTTAAACTTAAGTATACTGTAACTAATTTATAACTTTCTCTTGGGACCTAGGAAAGTTCTAACATATACAGAAAGGTTTTATGAGGTAACACAGATTTATAGATCTTACACTTTTAAAACTGAACGTGGTGGGAAAATATTAAAAAAGAGAATGTTTTCAGAAATGTAACAGTAAGTGTATTTTTAAAACCAGTTCCTTAGTCATGACGTAGCTCGTCTACTACTTAAGAAATGTGGCTCCTTATTCTTCTTTCGGTGACAACGAAGTCATTACTTTTATTAAGGTCAAAGAATTATATTTATTTAAAAAAAACCCTTTTAGTTGCCTCCTTTAAATTAAAACTTAGATCAGATTCTCTTATGCACACAGTGGTTTATCTTATGATTTGATCATGTATAGGAGCCTGCAAAGAGACAAAGCAGAACACACCAAAGTGAAGCTATTGCTTTTTTAATTTCACATTTTTGTTCCTTCATGACAATACTGACGTAAAGTTATGATATCAGTCTTGGGTTCTATGGTCTTAGCTGTTCCATAGAAAGCTGTGTCTAGTAGGAATACAAGCTGTTCAAATCAGAACACTGTTCATGAAATTCTACTTGTTCTGAAGTTGCAATGATAGCTTCTGAATTTCTCTTGTTTTTGTAGCTTATTTCATAGATTATTTAAGTAAAATCGTTTTATGATCTAAGAGTTTCTATTCTATTATTAAAATGAAATGAGGGAACCTGAGGACTAGTAAGTTTATGTAAGAGAAATACTGTGTATTTTACTGTCTCAGTTTTAAAAATAAACCATATCTAAATTCCATGACTCTGCAAATATAACAAGAAATCTTGTATCAGTAACTCTAGTACAATAAAATATCTATTTTGTTATAAAATAGATAGATGACTTTTAAGGTCTAAATTTTCTACTGACATCAGAGGCAAAATATAAAAAAACGTAAAAGTACTCAGATAAGTGTGCTTTTGATTATCAGAAGGCCCCTGATATAAATATGGAATACTCTTGTGCTCATTCCTCCAATTTTGATTATATTAGTAAGAGAAAAATACTTTTCCACACTCCATCCACTTCTTGCTTTATGTTCATTATCACTCCACTTTGAAAGCACCATTTATTTGAAAACACCAGGGGACATGGTTTTAGAAAGTAGCAGTCATCTTTAGGACTGCAGTTTTAAAAGAGTCCCTATTTCCTTGATTGTTAATAACCTTTTTTGGGGAGGAGTGTTCATAATCACGAGTTAGATATGTAACTGTCAATGGGTATAATACATACAGAAGGAAAGGAATGACAGCAGAAAATACAGAATTGAAAAATGATGGAAAGAGAGCCGATCAAAAATGATCCACAAACACCTTTCCATAAATAAGTAATGGGTCCATGTAAAGACACACAGACCAGGAAAAGATGGAAAAACAAGATGTACAAAGTTAAGGTTCCTCCATAGTTATATGCATGACTAGGATAAAAATCACAGATCTAGAAAAGTAATGAGTAGAAGATGTGAATCCAACCTGAGTGCTAATTCTGGCTTCTCTGGGACTTTCTTTGTAAAAGGGTATATATTCATAGTGTTGTGAATGCAAATAGTTACTGTGTATTAAATACTATAGAAATGGGGATCCCTGGGTGGCGCCGCGGTTTGGCACCTGTCTTTAGCCCAGGGTGCGATCCTGGAGACCCGGGATCGAGTCCCACATCAGGCTCCCGGTGCATGGAGCCTGCTTCTCTCTCTCTGTGTGACTATCATATAAATAAATAAAAAAGAAAGTATTTTTTTAAAAAAAATACTATAGAAATGTAAGGGATTACTATGCTATTGGTGATAGAAAATAGGACAGAATATATTGCCATATGCTGTAGTGGTTAATGAAAAAGAAAACATGAACTCTGGAGTCTTTTGCCTAGGTTCAAATTCTGCCTCCCTCTCTTAGAAGCTGCGTGACTCTGGGTAAGGTACTTAGTTTCTGGATGCCAGTCCTGAAAATAAGGACTGTAATAATCTACCTCAGAGGGTTGTAGTTACAAGTAGTTGACTTAATACATGCAAAGGAACTTAAAACAAGGCCAAGTACCCAGTAAGTAAGAACTACTGTTATTGCTGCTTTGCTACTATTAATTGGAGGGAGAAGCAACTTGGGACCTGACTTCTCAAATCAAAAAACAAGAACTTGGATGGAAAGTGGGACAGAAGAGCTCTGTCTTAGTGTATCCACTGCTGTCCTTCAAAAACAGCAGACAGGGGTTAAGTTTATGAGAGTGGGAAGGTGGGCCCTGTGCTACAGCAGCCTGCTTGTGCACCCGATGCAGTGGCACATCTTACCCCTTCTACTGCTCCTACTGCTGAGGGAGGGAACTCATGGGAAAGGAAGAAGATGTGGTTCTTAGAGCTAGTGCTAACGTTTCCTCTAGTGTTTCTACAGAAATTGTACTAGAAGGGACAAGTGTTTCTCTGTCACAGCAAAAATGAAACATTTCAAGCACATGTGTCAGCAATATGTGCCACTGCTATCGACACTGACTGAGGAGCCAGGGAACCCGAATTCTTGACCTGGTTCTAATGCTACCTATTTGTGTGGCACTGGTTTTCAACATGCACATGTGCACAAAGAGGTTCTTGAAAGAGATGGTCTTTAAGGCATTTTCCAACTCTAATAATCGTATTCAATTACAGAGAGTTTCTTTCCTTGGCAATAGTTACAGAAAACTATTGAAATTTTACTAAGATACAGTTCAGGAGAATCTTAGAAAAATGGACCTGCTTAAAAAAACAAAACAAAACAAAAACATTGCTAACTCACCCGTAAGCTTAGAGTATATATATGACTATGGTTTAGAAAACACAATGACCGGGCAGCCCGGGTGTCTCAGCGGTGTAGCGCCGCCTTCAACCCAGGGCGTGATCCTGGAGACCTGGGATCGAGTCCCACGTCAGGCTCCCTGCACGGAGCCTGCTTCTCCCTCTGCCTGTGTCTCTGCCTCTCTCTCTCCCTGTGTCTCTCATGAATAAATAAATAAAATCTTAAAAAAAAACCAAACACAATGACCTACAATAAATGACTGTAAAAATTCTCTCATTCTTAAACTTGTTACTAATCCCAAAAGGACATGCTACAAAAACAAAAAATATGATGCCAAAACTTTCTGGTCTGAGATTTGTCTAAAAATGTTTCTGTAATTTGATAGATAAAAAACGTAATTACTATAAGAGGGCCAACCTAATTGAAAGCATGTTAATAAAATATAAACTAGAGTCACCTGCCATTAGCTTTAATACTAGTTAGGGAAGACTGTTTTAATCCGTGCCTTAGAAACACATTACATACCATTTTCAGAATCTTAAGGCAGTAAGTAAACTTTTTAAGTGTAAGAAAAGTGTCTTATTAGGGTCTCAAAGCACCCAAGAACACTAACCCTATGCCTTTGGACACAGTGGGCATCACCAAAATCTGCTCACTGAGCTGAAAAGTATCATAATGAAGTGGTAGTTCCTTGAAACCTAAATTTTAAACAAATGCACAGGCATCATGATGTTAAATTTAACAAGTTAATATTAATTCTGGCCCAATTTGGTAAGATTGATACCCAGTTTTTCCCTTATTTTTTTTTTATATCACTGACTTTAAAAGTAGGTTAATATTAATTCTTTTTACTTTTTCCCTTCATTAGTTTGATTTTTAAAAGACTTCATACAACCTCATTTCAAAATGAAGGCTTTTATCTGGACCCTAAGTGCACTATTCTTTCTACTAATGGGCATTGGACATTGCAGAGGAGGACAGTTCAAAATGAAAAAAATAACCCAAAGGAGATACCCTCGTGCCACGGATGCTAAAGAGGAAGCAAAGAAATGTGCATACACATTCCTGGTACCTGAACAAAAAATTACAGGGCCCATTTGTGTTAATACCAAAGGGCAAGATGCAAGTATGATTAAAGACATGATTACCAGGATGGACCTTGAAAACCTGAAGGACGTGCTCTCCAGGCAGAAGCGGGAGATAGATGTCCTGCAGTTGGTGGTGGATGTAGATGGAAACATTGTAAATGAGGTAAAGCTGCTGAGGAAAGAAAGCCGTAACATGAACTCACGAGTTACTCAACTCTATATGCAACTATTACATGAGATTATCCGTAAGAGGGATAATTCACTTGAACTTTCCCAGTTGGAAAATAAAATCCTCAATATCACTACAGAAATGTTGAAGATGGCAACAAGATACAAGGAACTAGAGGTAAAATACGCTTCCCTGACTGATCTCGTCAATAACCAGTCTGTGATGATCACTTTGTTGGAAGAGCAGTGCTTGAAGATATTTTCCCGACAAGACCCCCATGTGTCTCCTCCTCTTGTCCAGGTAGTGCCACAGCATATTCCTAACAGTCATCAGTATACTCCTGGACTGCTGGGAGGTAACGAGATACAGAGGGATCCAGGTTATCCCAGAGATTTAATGCCACCACCTGATCTGGGAACCTCACCCACTAAAAGTCCCTTCAAAATACCACCAGTAACTTTCATCAATGAAGGTAAGTTGCTTCTTACTGTTAAAAATGGAAATATGAGGTTAATATATTTTATGGTTTATGAAACAATGCACATGATAAATCCTTATTCTTCATTTTGGTCATGGAATTATACATGAACATTTTTGTTTTCTATTAATCAAGAATTGATTTAAATACATCTCTCAGCTAAGAGTTCCTAAAAATAGCATATTCGGTAAGAAAAGTATTGCCTTCCGACCAAGTTCTTACAATCTGTTACTAGCATAAAGAGAGGAATGAGTCCACCATCCACTTGTAATCTCTGCAACCATCCTATCAGCCCCCAGCCAGGTCTTCTTGCTGCAAAACAATCCTTTTGTTTACCTCTTGCTGCTCTTCTCATTTTCTTCTCCAAAAGGAGCATTTAAAAATTTGCTTCCACTCTCCTTAAGCCTACAATTATATCTCCTCCTCACCGCCACTCTCAGACACTCATCATCTACTACTGTACTGAGATGAAGTCTACTCAGGTCCTAGGTTCGTTCCTTCTTTGTTCTTTCCTATCCTGAAAACATCTGGACAACACCCGTGCCTTCTTATCCTCGGTCTTAAGAGGAAAAGGTATCCCTTCTATTTTCCAAGGCTAAACAAGCTACGATTTGTATCTTATAGCCACATATGTATAAGTTTTCACTGTGATAAAAAAAAATAACACCCTAGAATTGATCCTAATACCTGTACCTCTATTTCTTAATTTCCTCCCTCACTCACTCCTTCCTTCCTTTCTTATTGGTTACTGATCTCCGAGCCTAGAATACAAAGATGAATAATTCACCTTTGTTTCAGTTTAGTAAGATGTTAACTTTCTGAATATTTTGCTTTTATTTTTACCTCCACATCCATTTTCTCATAAGGCATTCTCCTGAAATCTTTACAAGTTGATTTGTTTCCTTAGAGTGGAAAGAAAAGCCCAAATACCCAAAAGTGAAAAGTAAATAAATCATACTTCATTCACCTATGGAAAGGGCAGCACATAAAACTGCACATAGACTATGGAGTAATTTTAAACAAAAACAGAACAAAGACTGGAAGTACATATATCATAAAGTATCTCTCTGCAGCAGTAGACATCACATCTCTGCTTTCTTGGGCTTCCACATTGTGATATTCTGACTCTTCCTACTTCTCTAAGTCCTTATTTGTATCTTCTTCCTTCTACTACAGCTTGAAAAGTTTTCCTCAAGATCCTCTATGTTACAGGTTTCTCACACCTTCAAGGCTACAAGTATCACCACAGCTCCAATGACTCCTGCCTGGAGCTCTCCCTCCTGATTCTAACCAGTGCTGAATGTTTGCATCTGGATGATCTACCATCACCTCACACAGTGCTGCTTCCTCTCCTGAAATGCCTTCTTCCAGCTTATCTGTCAACCTGGCAGATTTCAAGGCTTAAGTAAAATAATATCTTAAGTGTTATGCATTCCCAGATTCAAACAAACATATCTTGATGGCTCTTTCCCCAAATTGCTAACTATGCCTTGAACACGTTTTCTACATCACATTACACTAGGTTGTTTGTATGTCTGTCTCCTGCTAGACTGAATGCTTCTGGAAAAATGAACTGTCTTTTCATTTTTCTATTTCAAACATCTAGCCAGGATCAAATTTTAGCACATTGTGCTCAGCATATTTTAAGCTAAGCATTATAATAGATATTTGAGGAATGGATGAATAACTAAAGCTTAAAATAATCTTTTCCCCAACCTAGCATTTTACTTTTAGAAATATTATAGAGGTAATACATATTTATTGAAGAAAAACTAGAAAATACTAATAAGCTTTGTTAAAAGATTCACTGAATATCCAAATAAAAATAAACAAAAGTTAACACTTTGGTAACAACCTTTAAGTCTTTCTTTTTTTTCCCTTCTTGTTAACATGGTAATCAATATTCTTGCAATTAAAAAAAACTATTTTGCTCTTGTACTTTCTCTGTGATTATATCCTTAGGATAAATCTCTCTCTCTCTCTTTTTTTTTTTTTAAATAAATCTCCTTTACTAAGACTGATGGGTTGATTTTGATTTCTCTATTTTGATTTATGTTACTCCCTATTTCTGAATTTGCATGGCTCATCTCTGTTATTTCCCCTCTGCTGAGTTCTATTCATGTTGCTTTTCCATCTTTCATGGACTTTGTCCCTGATTTCTATTCAGAGCCAGGATTCTAATTTAGATCCAAGTTATCTATGACAGCAGCTGGAGGATTGAGACTTCTGGATTATTAGCTATGTAACATTGGGGCAGTGGGCAGGGAACTGCTTTTTACAGTTTCCTGATCTGTAAAATGGAGGATAATAATTGTACTTACTTCATAGAATTTAACACTTGAGGGGTGCTTAGAACAATGCCTGGCACTCAAAATGTTCTTTTATTTAGGAATGCTATAATAGCTTGTTGACTAATCTAACTCCATTTTCTCTTTCCATCAAAATATATCCTATATTGTCAACAGATCTATCTTCTTAAGCTACCGCTTTGATCACATCACACTTCTGCTCAGCAGTTCCCCATTATACACAGAAAAGGTGCATTTTGCTTAGCCTGGGGTAAGAACAATATCCTCCTCAAACTTACTTCTTTAGCTTTCCTTCAATTAATTTCCTTCATAAAATGAGTCAATTCACTGTCTCTGAAATATTTTCCATGTTCTCTGCCTATCAAATTATAAGGTTCAGACCAAAAATAATAAAATAAAATAAAATAAAATAAAATAAAAATAGCAATTCCTCCTTGAAGCTCTTGTTGACTTCCTTAAAGTGACTGCTCCTCTACATGTATGTTGCTTTTCTGTGGGACATAAAGTATATACATTCCTTATATTCCCTCTTGAATTATCAGTTATCTTTATATATACATAAAGTACTCATATACATATCTAAATAAAATGCCTTCCAATTATAATGTAAGCTCCTTCCTGACAGATGGATATTATAGCTCATCTGCAGATAAATAAATGTTGGTTAACTTGTTATTTTTATACAGCTTTGTAAAGCTGTCACATTCCACAAACCTTTATGAAAGTACTTTAATACATTTTACTATACTGGATTCATTCAATTTATACTGTTCTAACTCTCAATAACAACAGGCTAGAATACCATTATCTTAGGTAAATAGTCATTATGGACATCCCCATACCCTTTAATTTTCAAAGGAAAGACATGTACAAAATGATCCACTGAGTATATAAAGAAAAAAATACATATTTATATTATCTTTTTAAAAAGTGTATGTTTTGTGTAAGCTTTTAATGTATATAACTTAACAGCATAGTTTTTCATATAACATAGATAAACATAATTGAAGTGTGTGGAATTTATTTAACTGATGGAATGTACAATTATGTAGGTATGGAGATGACCACCCTGAAGTATTTTCCGTGGGTGCTGAATCTTAAGTGGATGGTATCAGTTCTAGAAGAAATTATTATTCACATATTCATACACTGACACATTAGAAAATGTTTATGTAAAATGAGCTAGATCAGTTCTAGATGTTACTCTACATTGAGCTATAGTGCAGGACTAATCTTGTATTTCAGAATTAAATCTCATGCTAGAGATATAGCATATAAAAAGTCCCATTAAACAGACTTTTGTTTTAATAAAACAATGGTGTTTATATTTCTATTAACCAATCCTTAACGTCAAAATTAAGGGCAGACATAACTTCTGTTATTCACTATTTATTTGTTGCTACAAGTAAATATTAACTTTTAATTTTATTCTATAAATATTGGTCCTTTGATATTCAATGACATAATTAGCAACACCGTAAGAATGTTCATTAGAACACTAATAAACATATAAGGGAAAGTGCATAGAATAAAGAAAACCTGTTTCCTTTGTTATTAACCTTGGGTAAATGACTTGGGTAAGTGTCTGTTCTCTCATTTGTATGGTGAGAGTGCTGGTTGGACTGGACAATTCTAACATCCCCTTCTAGTTCCAATATTCTATGACTCGTATCAAATATAAATTACTATAAGCAACAATAAACAGACTTGCTATTTTCTTTTTATATAATGTGCTAAAATCTTTGTTCATATTATTATCATACTGGAAACTATGTCTGAGCTGTTTGGATACTTGCACAAAAGGGGCAAAGATGGATGGTCCTCCTGCTGTACTTACACATGCTCTGGCACCAAAAAGTTCATATTACTGTACTCTACATGTAGGAACATGGTCTAGAATTCTGAAGTCTCTAAATGTATAATGTGTATGTATTATCTTAAAAGTGTTTTAGCCAGTCACAAAAAAAAGCCAAATACTGTATGATTCCACTAATATGATATACCTAAAGAAGTAAAACTCATAACACAGAAAGCAGAATGGTTTCTGGTAGAATCAAAAGTTGCTCAATGGGCACAGGGTTTCAGTTCTACAAGAAGAAAAGAACTCTGGACACTGTACAATAAAGAGAAGGTACTAATGCCACTGTACATTTAAAAATGATGAGGCTGGTAAACTGTTACATATATCTTACCATCATTTTCCTTAAAAAAGTGTTTTAATGACAAGTTTATATTTTCTTTTTTTCCCCTCTCTCCATAATGGTTTCTTTCATTTAGATTAGGACAAAGCAAATGGAACAAAACATTTCCAATCCTCAAATCTCACTGGGAAGTAAATTAATATTGTCATTATTCATTTTACTTTGGAGTATTTTTCAAATTTCTCAGAACAAAAAAATCCCATAGTAAATCAAGATAAAAAAGAAAGTCCCTTAATGTGATTAAAAAATACATGTATTTCAAAACAAATATCAGTAGTATTCTTAATGGTAAAAAACTAAAAGCATCTATATCAAAAAAAATTTGAAATGAGAATACACAACTATTAATTAATGTGGATCTAGGGGTTCTAGCCATTAAATTAATAAACAAAAATGTGTGTATATGTGCATGAGTGTATATATGTGTGTGAGTGAAAATGGTTATAAGAAAAATGCATCTCAAAAGAACTTACCATGAACTTAA